GCCCTGGAAGCCCTTACACCATGCACCAGTTGGAGGGGAAGAGCACCAGCACCAAATAAGTGCCCTTACTCTTGTTTGAGGCCAAGGATAACGTGATGCTCTGCCCACTTTGACCCTGCCCTGACACCTGGAGAGGAACAATTCTCCATTTGTTTGGGGCACTACCCTGGGATTTGGGAGACCTAGATTTAATTCCTTCCTTGGCCATGGACTAGCTGTATGAGCTTGGGCAAGCTACTTAATCTCTCCGTGCTTCAATTCCCCATCTGTAAAATGGGGATAATAGCATTGCCCTTCTTTCCAGGTGCTGTGAGGATAAATACATTAAAAGATTGTGAGGAAGTCAGATACTACAATAATGGGCTCCATATAAGTACCTAAGACAGATACAATTACTTGGTACTCCCCAAATCTCATTGGTCTACAATAGGTTAATGAGGTTCTCTGTAAACAAATAAAAACAAAAAAGAACTACTTAATAGTGTTTTTGTTATTTACAACCACATGTGACATTAACACTCAGTGAATATTCACTATGTGCAGCATTAATGTGTAGATTGTCTTCAGCAGAAATGTGTCTTACAAATGAAGGAATCATGTTATTTAGAGACAAACTTAGGCCTCCCTTTCAGGCTTAGGAAATGCATCCAGCTCATGAGAAGTTACAGCTCTGAGGAGAAAATGTATTGTACCTGCACAGTTTATATGCTGGTTAAACGTCGTCATCCTTGTCACTTTTATACTTTTAAAAGCAGATGATGAACAAAGAATCACGTTGACATGAACTGGCACAAACTTTGGCCTAATCTTCAGCAATCCGAGCTAAAAGGATTTGAAGGGTTTGAGCAGAGGTGAACACTGAAGTCTTGATTAGGCAGTAGGAAGTCATTTATAATTTACTTCATTGTTACTTGGTGAACTGCTGCTGGCTGCCTTGTCAACTGTAACGTTAATTTTTTTCCAGGGGAGCCAAGGTTGCGAGTTGGCTCGTTCAGACTCTCCAATGATCCTGTGTTTGTGAAATTAACATGTACATGTTTGTAATTATCAGGAGATAGAGATTTTGGGCAATATAAAGTGGGACTTTGTTTTTATGCCAGGTTCGCTATCTTTTGGAATGGATGGAGGAAGACGTAGAAGATGTAGAAGAAGCAGACGAAGCTGACGATACAGTGAAGCCAGAACTCTGTCACCCATTATGCCAGTGCTCAAAATGTGAGCCAATACAAAAGGTTGGAATTTTTTTCTGTTCTGTAGACAGAATAACTTTTGCATTCCTGTAGTTAGTTTTTTTAGCCCAGGAAAATAATATTCCTATTCTTCTGCACAGCTGCGTCTCTGCTCACAAGAGGCCTGTGATTAAATGTGCACAGATCTTAATAGAGTTCATCACCTTATAGGATGAAGTTGCTGTACTTGAAAATCAGGCTGTGGAAAGGATTGGAATAGAGAAGCAATGTTTAGAAACTCATTTTGCTTTCTGATGGAGGAGTGGAAAACTTGTGTGTTTGGATTTTCTTCTTCACCCCCTTTTTGTATTGTTTTGGTCCAGGATTTGTAGTCCAGGCTTTCAGTAAGTTCTGAGTAACTTTGTAAACGTGAGGGTAAAGAGAAGCTCTGCTCTAGGCCTCCCAGTTGTTTCCTTTACCCCCTTATCTGCTCTAGGGCTCCACAATTTCTCTGCTGATCTGGGCCCTTGATAACTTGCCCTCTCGGCCCATTGAACATTTTATTCTTTGGTAATACCTTAGCAGGAAATTTACTGTCCTCATAAATATCAATACAATACTAATAAGACCACTTTATTGTTTATCATATCTTTAATTCAAACTGTATCTAAAAAACTAGAGGGCTAAATAAAATTATGGAGAATTGTTGTCTCCCTTGCCCATTATTTATCATACAGTGGAAAGAGAAACGGGCTGTGATATGGGATTAATCATGTTCCTTGTTGGAAGCCACTGCCATGCCTTCCAATGAGTAATAGTATTGAATACTTAAATACTGATAACTGTTTCTTTAGAACACGTGTTTTGGGTCTCATTTGTGGAAATAAGGAACGCTCATAATTTAAAGAAAATAGAAAGCTGATTGCAACTCAGAAGGAAAAAGGATTATTGTGACTGAGTGATGATGGAATCTCTTGCTTACCGAAACAACGGCTTTGAGACATTTTAGTTTAGCTAACTGGTAACAGTGGAATGGCCACCTGGCTCTTGAATAAAAATAAGAAGGCATTTGTTAAGTAGTCTTGCAACTACACACTGCAGTTGGGAAGAGGGAAGGATGGGAAAGGTTCGCTACCATTGTGAAACGTTGGCTTCCATGCAGTCTGAGAGAGCAGTAGAACAGGACATTCTCTGAGTAGTCTGTAGGTCACATCCCAGTTGGATCTTAAGCAACTTTTTCCAGATGGCCTCCAAGGAATTCATGCCATATAGCCCTTCCTACTGTTCTACCTCAGTCAGGATACTGTTTTCTAAAGGGCTGTCATACGAATGCAGCTCAATAAAGTTTAGCAGATCTGCAGAATTCCATTTCCTCAAATTTTGTGATTTCCCAAAGACTATAGCAATTATTAGTATACACTATATTGGTGCCATGGATTGTTTCCATAGAACTGGAATTAATTTTAGCTGTAGTTGTAGCCCTCAAAAGCTGGACCTTGTCATAGCAGGGAAGTAGACTAAGGCTTGGTCCACGCTGGGGCGGGGGATCGATGTAGGAAACTCAACTTCAGCTACGAGAATAGCATAGCTGAAGTCGACGTTTCCTAGATCGAACTAAGTTTACTTACTGCGGGTCCACGTGGTGCAGGCAAGCTCCCCCGTCGACAGCGCTTCCTCCTCTCGGCGAGCAGGAGTTCCGCAGTCGACGGAGGAGCGCTTCTGGGATCGATTTATCGCGTCCAGATGAGACACGATAAATCGATCCCAGAAGATCGATCTCTACCCGCCAAATCAGGCGGGTAGTGTGGACCTAGCCTAAGTAATCTCTGGCTAGGTCTACACTACCCGCCTGAATCGGCGGGTAGAAATCGACCTCTCGGGGATCGATTTATCGCGTCCCGTCGGGACGCGACAATCGATCCCCAAATCGGCGCTCTTACTCCACCAGCGGAGGTGGGAGTAAGCGCCGCCGACAGAAAGCCGCAGAAGTCGATTTTGCCGCCATCCTCACAGCGGGGTAAGTCGGCTGCGATACGTCGAATTCAGCTACGCTCTTCACGTAGCTGAATTTGCGTATCTTAAATCGACTCCCCCCTGTAGTGTAGATGTACCCTAAGTCTCTAAGAACGCAGACTGTGTTCAGTTCTATAATCAAGTGTGTAAAACAAATGTGAGGTGTAACATTAACTCCTACCAGTCATACCGTACTGTATCCCACTAGAGCCAACAACTAATGCAAGTCTGGATCTCTTAAATCACATATCAAACTGAGCAGTTTTCAGTCCCTGCTAATAATAAAAATCTTTTTGTGAAATTTTTCTGTACTAACCTATCTCGTTTAAGGAAGGGAAAAATAAGACAATTATCCGTCACCGATGCTGGGGCCAGTTCTAGGGGTGGGGCAGCAGGGCAATAATTCCCCGAGTGCCAGTTTTCAGGGCACTATACTGCTATA